GGAGGAGGATAAGTACTGGGGAGACGAGGAGGGTGTGTATTGGGGACATGAGAAGGGGTAAAATATTAAGATAAGATTACAGAAATTAGGCTGAAATGTAAAACTTTAAAATCAACTTGCAGAAGACGAATTAGTGTATGCAAAAAAATATTAAATACAGGTATCCTTTTGGCACAATTAATGTAATTCAAGACACTGAAGTCTACAGGAAGTCAGTAGACTCAAGTTGCTGGAAGCAAGAAAGTGACTAAAGGCTTCAAGCGACATCTCGCGCGATGTTACTTGCCTGTATAGCTATTATTTAGTGACATCTTTAGTGACAAAATTAGTACAATTTTGCCTAATGGTTTAGTTTAGTTCATTTATTATGCACCCCATACCCATCTTGTGGGCGGTAGTGGAAAGGGTTACAGAGGCACATAATGGGCTCAGGGACTGAACCCCACAATTCATTGCTAAATGAATTGTGGGGTTCAGTCCCTGAGCCCATTATGTGTCTCTATTGCCTAATGGGAAAAAATGTAATTACGTCTTATTGCAGTGAAGAAGCTATTTAAATTCATTGGCACACAGGACAGAAGATCTTACATAATACAAATTCCAAACTGTTGATTCAAACACATATTTCCCGAGATAACAATCTACTACATCAGACGTTATACAAATTTTAATTAACGAATTAGTATATACAACTTCCTATTGTTCACACAGAAGAGATATAAATTGATAAGACATTAGAAAAAAAACAATTTGGAAAAAGTTAACATATGTTAACAGGTGATATGTTAACAGGTAATTAAGGTATCAGGAGAATTACAGATCTAACAATTCAAAATGTGAATCAGAGGAACTACAGGTGTTCAAGCAGATGTTGATAGCATGAAGGTAAATGGCAAAGAATAAATTAATCTGTCGATAAACATTCATCAAACCGTCCGGAATGTTGTTACGAATAGTTTTTATTAATTATATATGAAAAGCTGTTTAGCTATTAATTCTCTCCATGGAAGGCCAATATTTTCTCATTGCATCTTTCTCATCGAAAAATAGACAGCGCCTGAGTTTGTCGTATGTTAAAAAGTATGTATCAGAACCACTACTGACTTTCTTGTTAGCAATCATTTTCTTTATGCATGAGATATTCAATGGTCGATAATTCTCTCCTCATTCCGTTATGAGGTCTAGCTGTTTGTTTTATGATGTTTAACATATCTGCTACTCATATATGTACCTGAAAATATGTGTATTCAGTTGCAGTTAACACACACACAAACACACAGCTCATACACAGACACAGACAGACACACACACACACACACACACACACACACACACCAACTTCAGAAACTTGTGTAAGGAATAATTCGGAACCTTGTACACAACGTATGTGAGACCAATACTGGAGAATGCACCTCCAGCTTCGGTTTTATATCTTGTCAAACATAATGCTAAATTGGAGAAGCCTCAGAGGTTTGCCACCAGACTATTGCTCGCAACTGAGGGGTATGAGCCATGAGGAGAGACTACGGGAATTAAACCTCACGTTGCTGGAAGCCAGGAGAGTTATCGGGGACATGATTACCACATACAAAATTTTGAACGGAATTGATAGGGAATATTCACACACACGCACACACACAGTTAATCGAACCTCACGTCGCTGGAAGACTGGAAAAGCTAGGGGAGACATGATCATCACATACAAGATTCTCAACGGAATTGATAGGGAATATTGATACACACACACACACACACACACACACACACACACACGCACGTGTCTCACATACCAAACGCGTGCCATGAAGAAGCTCTCACAGCTTTCTCTGAGACCAGATAATGTCACATTTCACTCCTCGGTTTCCATCTTTCATCTCCCCGACGCCGCCCCCCCCTCCCCCCCCCCCCCCCCCTCCAAACACGACCCCTCCCCAATCTCATCTGTCGCCTCTCGCAGCCGTCCCAAGCAGCCCACTTGAGCCCGACACTTCTCAGGATAACGACGACGAACGCAACTTACGACTGTGTGTTTTTTTCTGTCGTTTTTGTGCTGGGTTAAAGATGGCCACGTCATTAAAGAAGAAGAAATGGTTAGACTCACGCCCGTCGTTATCGGCCTCTCAACCAGTCAAGAGGTTAAAGGGGTGATAACAAACATCTTAGTTTGATTTCTTTGTGGCTAAAGCTGAGTAGATAAAGAATAAAGTGGATACATTTTCAAATTATAGAGAGATAATTATATTGATTATTTTTGCTTCAAGCGGCTTTATTAGTATTATTTAGTAAAGATCAAATAGATCAAACGTAAATTTGTTACTGATAGTCATAAGGTTTCTCCTCTATTCTTGTACATATTTGCTTTTGCAATTCAATGGACTCGTAGACCTATTTCTATTATGTTAATCTACGACAAACTTTTCGAAATTGCAGTGCATTAGTGAAAATAATTTAAAGGGGGGGGGGGATTATCAGGAGGAAAACGCCAAGCCATTACGACTATATAGCACTGGGAACGGGTCAGGATAAGGATTTGGGATGGGACGGAGGGAAGGACGCCCACTGAGCAAAGGGAAAGGAATTTTGTAAGAGAAAAAGTAGGCAAATATTAAGAAGACATACAGGCAGATCAGGCAGGGAAAAGTCGATTGTTTGCGCAGAATTTAGATTAAGTCATTGAGACTAAACTTGGAACAGAGTTTGCCTCTAAGGGAGTAAAGAGGCGGGACGTCCCACTTTAATTGACAAAAATCCATGAATATCTTCAGTCAAAGTCACGAAAATAATTTACATATTTTTCGCTATTCATTTTTTTTTTCATATGTAATATGCATATTCCTTTCACTACATGCACTTAGTAGATAAGCTTGTATATTTTAATATAACAAAGCTGATAAATTATCATTAGAATTATTATTAGTTTTATATTTATACATTATATTTATATATGCGGAAATTACACGTGAAAAATAGAGAATGCTAAACGCGTTTTCGGCTTAATTCTCTTTCATCAGAGCATTTCAGAATGAAATTTAAAATGCTAAAGTGCTCTGAATGCTTATTCTCATTTGTAATGCTCATTCTAAAATGCTATGATGAAGGCGAATCGAGCCGAAAACGCGTTTACCATTCTTTATTTTGCACATGAGGATTTTACGCATACTTGGATCTGTGTTTTTGTGATCGTTGTTGCATATATATATATATATATATATATATATATATATATATATATATATATATATATATATATATATATATATATATATATATATATAAAGTATCCCAGAAAAACCACAACTAGTATCCAAATAATATTATGCCTTCCCTTGAGTTCCACTTGAGTAATAAGGTGTTAGGTGATTCATATCATAGTCATATAAACTATTCATATATGTGTATATATATATGTAAATTCGTGTGTGTGTGTACTTTTATATAAGGGTATGTTTGAGTTCTTTTTATGTTCTTGTGTGTGTTCAGAACGCACACCTGCCCTCTGAAGCTTAGAATACAGGTGTGTGTGTGTGCCTGCACATGCTTGTTATCGCATGCATGTTTATGTACCGGTGAAGAAGGTCACTGTAACTGTAACTAAATTCACTGTAACAACGGTGAATTTGGCGTCGTAATAACCGGATCAGCTGTGATATAATGTTACGACCAAGATCATCATTAGGGGCTAATATTTGGCGTTGCATCAGCCTCAATAACACCCTTCGAACCCCTCCCCCACACCCCCCAACCCACCTATAGTTGTTACTCGCGACGATTGTCTGCTGGTAATGATCTCAAGGGGTAACAACCACTGCATTAATACACTCCCTTGTTTGATACCAGGTCCTCCTTAAACAACACTGCTGCTGAAACTCTATGATATTTGCCTGTTGCAGAGTTGTGTTGTACGGTGCGGTTGGATTCGATTCAAACACACACACACACACTGACACACACACACACTGACACACACACACACACACACACACACACACACACACACACACACACACACACACACACACACACACACACACACAGCTCAGTGTCGTAGTCTTAAGGGCTTGGGACTACATCCTTCATGTCCTTCAGAAGCAAATGGGCAGAGTTTCTTTCACTTGGCACAAAGAGTAATAAATATTAAACACACACAATTGAGCATCTATCACCGTAAGATATTCACATAAACTATAAATTATAAATAAAACTATAAATTTAAAGTAAAACAAATACGTGACATGAGTAATCTCACCTACAGTGCAAGGACGAGTGAGCTAAAACTCACCTCATTAGAGGAATGACAAATCATGTGAGGAGGAGGGAGGGAATTTGATAACTTGTGAGTTATTATTTAGAGTTATCAGGGTGGACAAAGTCACTATTCAAACTAAGAAACAGTAGAACCAAAGGTCAGAAGCCACGAATGAGCTGAAGTTATTAACTTTCTAAGCCTAAGAATCGCCAGTAAATACAAAAGGGTGCAAAAGCCAATCGTTGACTCAAATTCATTAAACCTCCCTAAAAGAAGACACGACGATAAACAGGATAAATGCCAATCATTGCAATAGCAGTGGGAGATGGAAAGGTGTGACTAGATACCCAAATACTGAAAGGAACTGAACCTTACTACCATTAAAGACAGGTGGAATTGAGTAAATATGCATTTGCAATTTTCGTGGAAGCATTCATTATTTATATACAACATCTACATTTGATTTTTTTTATGGAACAAATTCGATAAAACGCTGGTGATAACAATGATAAATTGTTATCTATATTCCTTTGTAAAAAACTCACTATATTTCTTTGTAAAATATATCAGTATAAGGTGGGTTAGAATATGTTGGGGATATGTTGACTATATGGGTACAATATGGGACATATTCTGAATAAAACAGCTTAAAACAAAGTGACATGCTCACTTTAATGCATCGTAGATTAGTTTGAATTATTTAATGTAAAGAAGGGTAGACATTGGAGACATTCAGCACAAGAAATGGGAGAACATGGAGACATTCAGCACAAGAAATGGGAGAAAATGGAGACATTCAGCACAAGAAATGGGAGAAAATGGAGACATTCAGCACAAGAAATGGGAGAAAATGGAGACATTCAGCACAAGAAATGGGAGAAAATGGAGACATTCAGCACAAGAAATTGGAGAAAATGGAGACATTCAGCACAAGAAATGGGAGAAAATGGAGACATTCAGCACAAGAAATGGGAGAAAATGGAGACATTCAGCACAAGAAATGGGAGAAAATGGAGACATTCAGCACAAGAAATGGGAGAACATGGAGACATTCAGCACAAGAAATGGGAGAAAATGGAGACATTCAGCACAAGAAATTGGAGAAAATGGAGACATTCAGCACAAGAAATGGGAGAAAATGGAGACATTCAGCACAAGAAATGGGAGAACATGGAGACATTCAGCACAAGAAATGGGAGAACATGGAGACATTCAGCACAAGAAATGGGAGAAAATGGAGACATTCAGCACAAGAAATGGGAAAACATGGAGACATTCAGCACAAGAAATGGGAGAACATGGAGACATTCAGTACAAGGAATGAGAGAACATGGGAACATTCAGTACAAGGTAGAACACGCGAACAAGGATAGAAACCTGAGGCGACACAACAGCTAAAAGGTTTCAAGTAAATGGAATAGAACAATGGAAGAGATAATACATATTACAGTAATTTCAAATGAATATACAGGACTAAACAGAGCAACCTGTCCTCCATATAGAGAGATATATCGTTATTATATATATCCTCCATATATCGTTCTAATACTTAATGGACATAGTACATTAATAAACGACACTGTTAGTATGTTTATATACACTAATTACCCCCTTACATTTCCATCCCACAACTAATCTCCCGAAACGCTTAATTTCTTATATTTAATGCAACTTGCACGGCGTCTCCGTTTTTAAATTTTTGTGTACACTTAAGTCAGGCCAGTTTTAATTATTTCAAAATATGTTCAGCACAATTTTGGCCAAAATAACACAATACATTAAATTATTATTTAATTATTAAATAATAATAATTATTTACAAGAAATAATCTTTCTTGTAAAGCGAACACTTTTCTGGAAATTATGTATGACAGAAAAACTGTCACTGACGCTCAGTGGAAAGAAAACACGAGATAACGATTCATGATATCAACAAATTAGAACACATTCTCACTCTATCTGTAATTGCTCTGTAATACCTTGAGTACAAATGGTATGAGATACTTTGAGCTCTGTAACTACCTCATACACTCACGAATATTGGAGTAGTGTTGAATGTTGACTAACTCTGAGACACAACACTCAAGCCTTCTTACCTCACTCTCAACACTGACGGAGTGACGCGTCTCCCAACATCACTACTCTTGAAGACAACAGAAGGAGAAAACCTTCACACAACCTGCACCTCCCTTCAAGGGGGCGCCGGTGAGTGCTGGAAACAGATCTTTGTATAAACACTGCTCATGACACGTTAGTGAGCACGTGGTGAGTAGTGTTCACGCTGACCCCAACATTGACCACCAAGTGATCACATCATGTGTATCTCTATCACTATTGTGACTACCTTCGTAGTCTGAAACTTTTTTAAATTAAAAAAAAATGGACATCACGAACGTCAGACCCTTTATATTATGCAGCTCCAGCACGGAGCCGCTTCCTTCCCACCCCCATAATACAAGGCTGGTACGAGAGTTTTAGGGAGTAACTTGCAAGGGAAAACTAATGAAACTGAAGTTCACATCAGTGAAGGCAACAGCTGTAGGGAGATGATCACAACTTAAAAAATACTCGATGGAATCGACATGATGAAATAAAAGTGTACTTGGCGCCCCAGGACCAATAAAAGAGGGTGCCTCAGCACCCCCTGAACCAATGACAGGGTTTTCATATTTACCCAATAATTATATTACGATATCTTCGTGTCATGTAATATTTTGTTGAAACAACAAATTTTCGGAAACAACAGGAAACAGGAACGTACCTTAAGCTGGTGGAGTTGTGCCTCGCGATGAGCTATAAAAAAAAAGTCTTCCCTGTAATGACAGGAAAATTAATTATTATTGTGCCTATTAAAAGTCCTATATATATACATTATAATCATATACCACATATATAACATATGAATGGTCACATCCATCTCCATGTTGGTATGTAAGAGGCGGAGACGAAGGTCACCCTTGAGGGTCAAGGTGATACTTACCTTCACCTGAAGGAGGGGTCAAGGCGGGGGGGGGGGGTCAGATAAAGGGTATCAGCGCTCTCCATAGTGGGGTCAGACAAGAAGGGGGTCAGTGCTCTCCAAAGTGGGGTCAAACAAGGGGGGTCAGCGCTCTCCAAAGTGGGGTCAAACAAGGGGGGTCAGTGCTCTCCATAGTGGGGGTCAAACAAGGGGGGTCAGCGCTCTCCAAAGTGGGGTCAAACAAGGGGGGTCAGTGCTCTCCATAGTGTGGGGTCAAACAAGAGGGGGTCAGCGCTCTTCATATTGGGGGTCAAACAAGGGGGGTCAGCGCTCGTCATAGAGGGGGATCAAACAAGGGGGGGGTCAGCGCTCTCCAATGTTGGGTCAGACACGGGGGTCAGCGCTCTCCAAAGTGGGGTCAGACAAGAGGGGTCAGTGCTCTCCATAGTCAGGTCAGACAAGGGGGGTCAGCGCTCTCCATAGTGGGGGTCAAACAAGGGGGTCAGCGTTCTTCAAAGTGGGGTCAGACAAGAGGGGTCAGTGCTCTCCAAAGTGGGGTCAGACAAGGGGGGTCAGCGCTCTCCATAGTGGGGTCAGACAAGAGGGGGGTCAGCGCTCTCCAAAGTGGGGTCAGACACGGAGGTTAGCGCTCTCCAAAGTGGGGTCAGACAAGTGGGTGTCAGCGCTCTCCAAATTAGGGTCAGACACGGGGGGTCAGGGGTCAACACTACTCACCATGTGTCGTGAGCAGTGTTCACAAAAGATCTGTTTCCAACATTCCCCGGCGCCCCCAGGTAATAGGGGGGTGCTCGTCGCCCCCAGAACCAATAAAATGTGAGGGGGGGGGGTCCTCGGCGCCCCAGGACCAGTTAATTGTGGTCCTCGGTGCTCATAGGACCAGTAAAAACGGGGTTTCGGGGCCCCCATGAGAGTAGAATGCATGGCAGGATGTGCAGAATACCCCCGTTGAAGAGCAGAGGTGCAACACGTACTCTGAGAGAGAACTATCAACATCAGAGGCCCGAGACTGTTCAACACGCTTCCACTACACACAAGGGGCATAACTGGCCGACCCCTCACAGTGTTCACGAGAGAACTTGATAAGCACCTCCAACCCATTCCTGATCAACGAGGCTGTGATTCATATGTCAGCCTGCGAGCAGCCGCGTCCAACAGCCTGGTTGTCCAGTCCAGCCACGAGTAGGTCTGGTCGAGGACCGGGCCGCAAGGACGCTAAGCCTCGAAACCATCTCAAGGTAACCCAATGGGCCAATAAAAGGTGGACCTCTGCGCGCATAGGACCAATAAAAGGGGGCTTCGGCTCCCGTTGAATCAATAAAAGGGGGCTTCGGCACCCATTGGACCAATAAAAGGGGTCTCAGCCCCCCCAGTCACAATAAAATGGGGGAGGACTTGGCATGCCCAGTACAAATGGCAAGGAAATTATATTTACCCATAATTATATTATCGTTAACGACCTGTCCTGTAATATTTTGTTGAAAAACAAATCACAGAAACAAAAGTAAACAGGAACGTACCTTAAGCTGGTGGAGTTGTGTCCCGCGATGAGCTAAAAAAAAGTCTTCCCTGTAATGACAGGAAAAAGTTATTAATATTGTGCCTATTGAAATTCCTATATATACATTATGATCATATACCATATATATATCATATGAATGGTCACATCCATCTCCATGTTGGTATGCAGGAGGCGGAGACGAAGGTCACCCTTGAGGGTCAAGGTGATACTTACCTTCACCTGAAGGATGGTTGAGGTGTCTGTAGTGGGGTCAGACGCGGGGGTCAGCGATGTCCGTAGTGGGGTCAGACGCGGGGGTCAGCGTTGTCCGTAGTGGGGTCAAACACGGGGGTCAGCGATGTCCGTAGTGGGGTCAGACGCGGGGGTCAGCGATGTCCGTAGTGGAGTCAGACGCGGGGGGTCAGCGCTGTCCGTAGTGGGGTCAGACACGGGGGTCAGGGGTCAACACTACTCACCACGTGCTCGCTAACGTGTCGTGAGCAGTGTTCACACAAGACCTGTTTCGAACATTTCCCGGCGCCCCCAGGTAAAAGGGGGGGGGGGGGGGCTCGTCGCCCCAAAAAACCAGTAAAAGGGGGGCCTCGTCGCCCCCAGGACCAGTAAAAGGGGGGCGGAGGCCCCCAGGACCAATAAAAGGGGGCTCGTCGCCCCCAGGACCAGTAAAAGGGGGGCTCGTCGCTGCCCCCCAGGACCAGTAAGCGAGGGGGGGGGCTCGTCGCCCCCTTGACCAGTAATGGGGAGAGGGGCTCGTCGCCCCAAAAACCAGTAAAAGGGGGGGGGGCTCGTCGTCCCCCCCCCCCCTTAGGACCAGTAAAAAAGGGGCTCGGCGCCCCCCTGGACCAGTAAAAGAGGGGTTCGGCGCCCCCCCCCTGGACCAGTAAAAGAGGGGCTCGGCACCCCCCCTGGACCAGTAAAAGAGGGGGGGCCTTAGACCCCTCCCAGTACAAATGACAGGGCTATGATATTTATCAATAATTATCATGGCAACGGCCTGTCTTGCAATATATTGTTGAAAACAACAAATTTTCGGAAATTTTCGGATATTTTCGCACCGGAAAGAAAAGGAAACAGGAACATACCTTAAGCTGGTGGAGTTGTGTCCCGCGATGAGCTAAAAAAGCCTTACCTGTAATGACAGAAAAAGTAATTATTAATATACCTATTGAAATTCATATATACAATATAATCATATATCACATACATAACATATGAATGGTCACATCCATCTCCATGTTGGTATGCAGGAGACGGAGACGAAGGTCACCCTTGAGGGTCGAGGTGATGCTTACCTTCTCCTGAAGGATGGTTGAGCTGTTCGTAGTGGGGTCAGACGCGGGGGTCAGTGCTCTCTGTAGTGGGGTCAGCGCTGGCCCAGTGCTGTCCGTAGTGGGGTCAGCGCTGTCCGTATTGGGGTTAGCACTGTTCGTAGTGGGGTCAGTATTGGGGTCAGTATAAACACTACTCAACACATTCTCGCGAACACAAACAAAAGCGATGTTTCCAACATTCACAAATCACTCACAATCAATTCACTATCCACTACAAGACGAGAAACACTACAAGAACTGAAAGTCTCCAACAAGTACGTAATTTTGCCACAACAATAAAGGCCAGTTTCCACCTTTTTTTCCCCAATAAATCACTAAACTTTCTAAGAATTAACATATAGTCACGTTAACATTTGGCAGCGGCGTGTCCTGCCTTTGTGTCTTGCTATTCTCCACAATACACTTTCAGGATTTTGCTAGACACGAAACTAATAATAAAAATACTCACGACCGTAAACCGCAGCACTGTAATCCCGTGCATACAATAGGGGTTAACAC